TTTCTCTCTGACCACAGCGCTCTGTCAGTCTCTTCCCACATGGGCTGCTTTTTGGGCAGGAGGTCTTTGAGGCCTAAAGGTACTGACAGCCTGTGAACCAGGCAGACCTGGTCAGCAGCCTTTTCCTGCAGGTCCTCTGTCCTTTCTGGTCACATTCCTGTTGTCACGATTGTCACTGCACTCACCTAAACTAACTCCGTTCTTTCTGACCTGCCCTCCGTTGCCTGCCATCCTTGGTTTGGCCTGGGACATCTCCAAAGCAGGAGATGCATTAGGGAGCGACTCTGGCCCCAGCTTGTCCCTCAGGAAGGGCCCCACCTGGAAGGAGCCAGCAGCAGGTGCACATGTTTATCTTTGCCCCGAATTTAAAAATTTCCTGTCCCAGTCCCATGTGCTTCACTGGTATTTTTCCTCTCCTTGAATGTGTACCCACCTTTATTTTCTGCCCAAATACCTCCAACCTGAAGCCAGAGGACAGGTGTCCTTTGGCAGTCCCCTACTTAAAGCTCCTCCTGGCTTGGAGTGACCTCCAGGGGCCTCTGGAATCCACCGCACGGGGACCAGCTGCTGGGTCTTGGCCCTGGTTCTGTGTGCCACGCCCGATAGCACCGCCTTCTCCGGGCCTTTCACTCGCTCTTCTCTGCGGCCAGAGCCTGAGATCCAGGTGTCCCGGGGCACACTCCCTCCGGAACCTCTGAGGGAGGGTCCTTCCCACCTCTCCGAGCGCCTGGCACTCCAGGCTCGTCCTCTGTCGCTATGTGGCCTCCCTCACGTGTCCGTGTCTCTCCTCTTCTGTCTCGTAAGGACACCCTTACTGGACTCAGCGCTGCCTGGATGACCCAGGCCGAGCTCATCTCAATGCCTTTGGCTTGATCACATCTGCAAAGAACCTTTTCCCAAACACGATCCCACTTTCAGGTTGTGGGGTAAGGACCAGACACACCTAATTTGGGGCCACCAGCATACTAGCCCCCTGCATAGGGATCTCCAAGTTGGCTATAGGACAAGACACCCCTCTACCTCAACTGGTTCCTTGTGGGGCCGGGGCCTTGTGCTGATTGATTGAGGAAGGGATCAGTGACTAGAAGTTTCTATGAGGGCCCTCATCTAAGCCTCAGGGCACTCTGGCAAGGGGGTGAATGTCATCCCCGCATGGTGGATGCCTGTCTATTGACGTGAAGTGTCTTCCAGTTCTCCCTCCCGTCTGCGCTACATGGGACCTGTGCTCCCTTTCTCTCCCACTTCATGGCTTGGGCTCCCACTGGGTGCTCTGTTGGCAGATCGTCTCGTGACAGGGATGGGATTTAATTTGGGAGGCTGGGCAGGCATCTCAGAGCCCAGTACCCATGCTGGTTTGGGGGCTACTCTAAGGACTTCTTGGGTCCCCGAGTGGGCAGGCAGCAGCAAGCTCCTTGCTTTTCTGTTCCTGTTGACTCTGGGGGACCTTCCTTCCAGCTGCTCTGCGGTCCTGGGCCCTGAGGGGCCCCTCTCAGAGTGGGGTGGCTACGTCATCCTGGAGGGCTCTCTCTTACCCATGAGACCCTCATTTTCTGAGCTCCCTGAGCCCAGTGCTCTCCCCTTGGTGCTGCTGGCCAGCTACGTTCTTGGGTTTCATAAGAAACATGCTGACGGAAACCCAGTGGCTCTGAGGGCTGCAGCAAAGTGTGGCTCCTGGGTGGTGGGTCCTCCTAAAACCCCATGGTGCTCGGAGAAGTTTCTGCTATGGGCACCAATGCTTCTGAGCCATAGAGGAGGACAACTCCACTTTCCTCAGTTTTCCTGGCCCATGGGCCACCTTTTGGAGAGCTCACAGCCTGTCCTGGAGCTGCCCCATTCCACCCAGCCCTGTCCTGCCCATGTCCTTTAGGGGTTCAGGGTGAGGACAGCAGTGGCAGGGTGGGCCATGGCCCTAGGGTGGCTAGGTGGCCTGGGGAAGCTTGCCTCCTCTGCTTTCTTCTCTGTGACTGGGAGAAATTACCTTTGACCTGCGAGCAGGGAACAGCGAGGGTGTGATTAGTTCCCAGGCTTCTCGGACCCATGGACCTTTTGGACAGCAGCCTGAGGCTACATGACAGGACATGAGTGCACCCCACTCACACAGCCACGGTCCAGCCAGCCCCGCCTGCCGGGCTGCTCAGCACCAGGACTGTGAAGGGCAGGGTGCTGGGCTGCAGGGCTGCTCTCCGCACTGAGCTGGGGCTCCGAGACCATCCCCGCGCACTGGGAGGGCTCCTGTGGACTCAGAAAGGCGGCTTTGTGCAGCTCTTGGAGGCTCCCGCTGCCTGGGACGGCCCTCGGGTGAGACGAGTGGCCATTGACATCGAGTGTCCGGGGCACCGCGGGGTGGGTGGCCGTGTTATGATTAGCAATGTGAACAATTGCCAAAGGGCCGTGTTGTACTCAAATGGACTCAAATAAAGAGCTGAAGACGGTGGGGGCAGGGCTGGGCTGGCCCTGGGAGGGTCCACAGGATTCTGATGGCCTTTGTTCCCCTGGGCTGTTTACTGGAGGGAGGTGCCTCTCCACGGGGCAGCACCCACACTCCTGGAGCTTGACAATGGGGGCCCGAGCCTCTGGTGGGATGGAAGTGGGAAGGGGGAGGTGAACAGACACCAGCTGCCTCTGGCTTCAGGTCCCTGTGGATCTTTCGAATTTACTATCCCATCCTGACCTTGCCTCTGCTGAGGGCCTCACACACACACATCTGAATACCCCAGGACCATGGTCGGCAAACTACGGCTCGGGGGCTACATGCGGCTCTTTGGCCCCTTGAATGTGGCTCTTCCACAAAATACCACAGCCTGGGCGAGTCTATTTTGAACAAGTGGCGTTAGAAGAAGTTTAAGTTTAAAAAAATTAGCTCTCACAGAAATCGGTTTGGCTCAGTGGATAGATCGTCAGCCTGTGGACTGAAAGGTCCCATGTTCGATTCCGGTCAAGGGCATGTACCTTGGTTGCGGGCACATCCCCTACTGGGGATGTGCAAGAGGCAGCTGATAGATGTTTTTCTCTCATCGATGTTTCTAACTCTCTATCCCTCTCTCTTCTTTTCTGTAAAAAAATCAATAAAAATATGTTAAAAAAATAAAAATTAAAAAATTTGGCTCTCAAAAGAAATTTCAATTGTTATACTGTTGACATTCGGCTCTGCTGACTAATGAGTTTGGGAACCACTGCCCCAGGAGGTCAGGGTCTGGGGAGCCAGCAGATTGCATCCGTGAGCAGCAGGTCTCCCTGGACCTGCTGGCCAGGCCTAGGCCTCCCTCGGTGCCACTGGGGCAGTTGTGCTTGGCATTTACCTGGGGCTCTTGACCTTATCCCTCCAATTCCCTCTCCCCCCAGATCAGTGTCCTGGGACCAGGCACTGATGGTGCCCATGGAACACTCCTGGGAGGGCCCTCCTGGGTCCTTGGTGCCTGGGTCCCAGGATCACCTGCCATGGGGGTCTCTGAGGAGAGGAAGGCACAGGCTCTTTCTACTTTTTCTTTTTCTCCTTCTGCACACTTTGTTTGGAACTTCCTGGTTGCCTTTGAGAGCTCAGAGGCATATGGCAAGGCTCTTCCTGCACCCACAGTCTCCCCAGGGGTGCCCGCAGCTCAGCTCCATCACCAGAGCTGCCCCCGGCTGCCGGTCAGCCCTGCAAGTGCCAGGCCCTCCTTCGGGAGTCAGTTTAGCAGACCCTCAGGAATGCTTGCATTTCCAGGGCCCGCGGGGCTTCTCACACAGACCCTGGGCCTTGGGGGTCCCAGCAGTGGGCCCAGTGGCGGTCCAAGTGCTCTGGTTCGTAGTCCTGGTGGTGAGATGGCATCTCAGACCCCCAGTGGGTGTAAAGATTCAGCCCTAAGCTGTTTGGCTCAGTGGATACATGGTCGGTCTGAGTTCCGAACAAGGACTCGTACTTTGGTTGCAGGCTCCTCCTTGGCCCAGGCCCTGGTCGAGGCTTGTGGAGGAGGCAACCAATAGATGTATTTTTCTCACACTGATGTGTCTCTCTCTGTCTTTCTCTCTCCAACACTCGCCCTAAAAATCTATGGGAAAATAGCCTCGGGTGAGGATTAACAAAGGAAGGAGGGGAGGAAGGAGGGAGGGAGGGAGGGAGGGAGGGAGGAGAGGGAGAAAGAGAGAGAGAGAGAGAGAGAGAGAGAGAGAGAGAGAGAGAGAGAGAGAGAGAGAGAGAAAGAGAAGGAAAGGAAGAAAGGAAAGAAAGAAGAGAAGAAAGAAAGAAAGAAAGAAAAGAAAGAAAAGAAAAAGAAAAGAAAAGAAAGAAAGAAAGAAAAGAAAAGAAAGAAAGAAAAAAAGGAAGAAAGAGGAAGAAAGAAAGAAAGAAAGACAGAAAGAAAGAGATTCAGAGGATCTGGGTGGCACCACACCCACCCCTTGAAAGTCCGTGGGGTGGAGGACCAGTGACTCCCAGGCGGCTTCCCTCTGATGCCAGCTCTCCTGGAAGCCCTTTCCCACCTGCAGGGCCTGTGGCGGCATCTGTCACCAGCCTCGGAGACACACCCCGTGCCCGCAGAGCTCAGTGGGTGGGGCCCGTCCACTCATTTCCCAATGCAGCTTGCAACATGTGCATCCCAGGAAACTCAGCCCACCCGAGGCGGCTGGCGCTGGGCCTTCGGAGGAAGAGGTTAATGCCTCCTCAGAGGCCAGCAGCCTCGCCAGGAGCTCTGCAGGTGCGGCTTCCCATCCAGGCCCACAGGCGTCTGAGTCACAAGGGTCCTGTACTCCTTAAAAGGGGATTTCTCCAGCAGGAGTTCTGTGTAACTCTAGTCACACCAGAAGGTTCCAGAGTTAAGATTGTGTGATGTCGCACCAGAGTTAGACACCCACACCTGGTGCTCTGGCAAAGAACGTTTCTCTTGTGTTCATGGTGGAATCGGGTGGCCCCGGTTGTGGGACCTTTCTCCACAGAGTGGGTACTTAGGGCACAAGTGTCTTTACTCCATGGTGTGCTCTGAGCTCAGGCAGATAGGGTGGGGGCGGGGTTTTGTCCCTCTCAGGGGTGGGACTGAGTTTCCAGCAGTTTGGTGAGCCAGGCAGAATGGAGCCTGAGGACAGTGGCTGCTGCTTGGACGTGCTCCCGGGCTGGGGCCACAGGGCTCTCTCTGTAGGCCTCCTTGAGAGTCTGAGAGCAGGGCCCAGAGCAGGCCTCGGGCAGAGGATGCAGTCCTGAGGAGGAGAGGCTGGTCAGGCACAGCATTTTCCAGAGGAGGTGGTCCCGGGGAGGCTTGTCTGCGAGGCAGAGGCTCCCTGGGTGAAGGGGCCATCGGAAGGGTCTCGCACATCAGTCCCCAGGTAGGGCCACGGGAGTATGAGGTGGTGTGGATGGTCCTGTGCGAGGTCTGGGAACCCTACAGCAGGTGCCAGTCCCCACCCCATGCATCCTGCTGGCCTGCCCCCTGCCCCACTCTGCATGCTCTCTGGCTGCTCACCCCAGTGCTCGAGCAGCTTGCCCAGGCCCTCACTCCAATAAGGGTCAGCCATTGGGGTGCACCCAGCTCCTACTTGGGGAAGACAGGGTGCCAGTTGGCTTAGCAATGCCCAGCATGCCACAGACAGTGGCACCAGAGGGCAGAGGGGAGGTAAGAGGCAGCTACAGACCGTGAGGGGCCTTGGGAGCCAGAAGGCACCTGGTTATAAGAGGCAAGGTGGTCCATTCCACTGGCCAGGTCAGACTGCAGGAAGTGTAGATTGGGGGCAGGACAAAGAGCTCGTGGGGCATCAGAAATGAGTTGCTGGGCATGTGCTTGGGGGAGTGGAGATGATTCACACCTACTTTTATATAGGGCACAGCCATGCTCTGTCCAGGAAGGGGAACCAGGAGAGCACAGAGCTGCTGTTGCTGCCATCCTTTAAAACCACACCTGGCCCTGCTCACAGACACTCCTGGCCCTGCTCACACAGACACACCTGGCCCTGCTCACACACACTCCTGGCCCTGCTCACACACACACCTGGCCCTGCTCACACAGACACACCTGGCCCTGCTCACACACACTCCTGGCCCTGTTCACACAGACACACCTGGCCCTGCTCACAGACACTCCTGGCCCTGCTCACACACACACCTGGCCCTGCTCACACACACTCCTGGCCCTGCTCACACACACACCTGGCCCTACTCACACAGACACACCTGGCCCTGCTCACACAGACACACCTGGCCCTGCTCACAGACACACCTGCTCTGCTCACAGACACTCCTGGCCTTGCTCACACACACACCTGCCCTGCTCACAGACACACCTGGCCCTGCTCACAGATACACCTGCCCTGCTCACAGACACTCCTGGCCCTGCTCACAGACACACCTGGCCCTGCTCACAGACACACCTGGCCCTGCTCACAGACACACCTGCCCTGCTCACAGACACACCTGGCCCTGCTCACACACACACCTGGCCCTGCTCACAGAGACACACCTGGCCCTGCTCACACACACACCTGGCCCTGCTCACACACACACCTGGCCCTGCTCACAGACACACCTGGCCCTGCTCACAGACACCGGGTCCTTTGGCAGGCATGTCACTAACACAGATTTTCATTCCTCCTGATTGGGGTGCTGAGTGCTCATGTCATGTGGCAATGGTGACTGTCACCTTTTATATAGGGATCTGTCCTGTGTCACCTTTTCCATAGGTTTTGCCTCAGGCTGTCAAGTCTTAAGCATGGTCAGGAAGAGTCATTCTGAAATGGGGCCTGGTTCATTCTGGAAATAGGGACCTTGTCACGGCCGATCTTTGGAGCATCTCCACCCTTTGAGGGGGCAGGGGTCTGGGGAGACTGTGTGATATCTGAGAGACAGCCCACCCAGTGGTGAGGCAGCCCCGGAGCCTGGTGGACACTCAGGGGCAGGTGTTCCCAGGTTCAGACGGGTCACCTGGCCAGGAGCTTTTGTTTGACTATTTCCCGAGTGGCTGCCTTCTGGGGACCCAGCGCCTGCCCCTGTATCTCATGCTGCCCTGGTCTGTAATTCCACCTTTTGATGCCCTGCCCTCTCTAAGCCTCCTTTAAAAATGCAAATCCGGTAACACAGTCTGCCCCACAGCCGGTGTATCAGTTCCGTCCTGACCCTTCTAAGACAGCGCCTGCCCCGCCTCAAGCAGGAGGCTAACGGCTCCCCCAGAACTGGACGTACCGGCTCCCCACACCTCACCAGCCTCCCACCTACTCTTCTCCCTGCCCCTCGCCATCCTCTCTGACACCATCAGAGCCCAGGGCTGCGCAGGGGTCTTTCCAGGGAAGCAGCTGAGAGAGGCCCAGGAGAGAGGCTGGGTTTTCACCTGGTGCCAGGGGCCACGGACCATGAGATAAATCAGAACTTGATTCACTGGGGCTTTCCTGAGCTGTTGAAAAATCCTTTCGGTGAAGAAGCAGGAACAGAGCCTACTGGGCATCCAGGCTGCCATGTCTGTGGCCAGTCGGAGTGATACCTGATCACACCCGATCAGTCTCCACTTCTGCCATACATTGCCTTGTGCCCCTAAAGGGAATATTGGCCAGGGAAGGTCCGCTGCCCTGGTAATGCAGGACACACACCTGGGCACACACCTGGGTATACAGGACACACACCTGGAGATGCAGGACACTCGCCTGGGGGTGCAGAGTACACACCTGGAAACACGGTACACACCTGAGAACACAGGCCACACCTCAGAGAACACTTCACTCAGTGGGTTGTTATTTTGACCTCCTGGCAGCCTCTTCTCTAAGTGACTTTAGTTTTCGTTATGTGGAAAGTGGGTGGCACAGATGGGAATTGGCATGGAAGGCCGCCCTGGGTTCAGACTCACCTCACTCCCCAGAAACCATTGGCGCAGGAAAGCAGAGGGGTACCCCAGCCTCCCGGGGCGGGGGTGGGTGGGTGTAGGAGAGGAGCCTGGTAGGTAGGGGGCAGGAGGCTGGCCCTTGGAGGGAGGCCCCTGTGTGCACGCTGTCATCGCTGGTACAGAGGGGCTCTCTGGACATCTCTGTATCCCAGTAGACCTCTGGTGGAGCCCTCGGCTTCTTTTAAAATTAAATTTATTATGAGTACATCAATATGGAACCAGCACATGGATTTGCTGGGGCGATCCAAACAACAGAGGGACGTGACCCCTCTCCTCCGCCCGGGCCACCCTCAGTCTTCCTAGCAGCTCGGACACTTCTCTCTCTTGTTGTCTGCTTTCCCGGAGTGGGGTGCGTGATTTCTGCTGCCCCATGACCCGCGTTCCCACACAACAAACAGTTGTCTTGGAGATCTTCCCGTACCATACATAGGATCTCACTCCTTCTGTTGTTTCTGTTAAAGTGATTTTTAAAATATTTTATTATGATCATGCATTTTCATCAGAAAACACAGCGGAAACCCAGAACAGAGAGCTGTGTTCTGGGTCTTGTGGCCGAGTTACCTTTGCAGCTTCAAGGTCACAGACCGAGTGGCTGGCGAGGGTGAGGGCGTGGTGGGGGAGGGGAGGTGCCCTGCTCCACCCACCTCCCACCTGGGTCATTGCTCCAAGGCCATCCCTGCAGACGGCTGTGAGCTGATTTGAAGTGACAACCCATCAACACACACAGACACGGCCCTAAAACGGCACTGGCGGCCACAGCTCCGGGGAAAGGCTTGGCAGGTTGAAGCTGCCAGCCACCTGGTGAGAAAGGCCCTGGGCCTGCCACCCCCAGGGCTGAGGTTAGAGGCTTCTGTCTGACGGTCTCCTGCTCATTTCCGCTGCCTGCCCACTCTGGGTTAGTCGTGGATTCTCGCCGTGCTGACAGCCACCAACAGCTGGCTTGACAGGTGTGGCAGAGCCCCCAGCTCCTCTGTCCGCAGCCGTCTGGCCCCGCACCCCGGGGGCCGTGGTCTGGAAAAGCTTTTCTTCAGCACCTTCAAAGCGTGGGCCGCTCTCTTCCGGTGCCCATGGCGGCAGAGGGAGACCAGGGTTCTCAGTCTGGGAGGAACCCCACCTGTCCAGTGGGATTCGGTCAACATTGGTGGCAGACGGTTCATGAATAGCAGCCACATGCTGGCGCCTTCCTGCCGTTCCAGTCTCCACTCAGGCTCCTCCTCCAATTCGTTTAAAATCACATGCACCATCGCCCTCTGACCTGCCTTCATTCTCCTCAGGGCACTTTTCACCACCTATGTCACACCATTCAAGTGTGTCTACCTCTTTATTGCCCGTATCCAGCTGGAAAGTAAAGCTACGACAACAGAACTTTTTCACATCTTCTTCCGTCCTTCTCATTTTTTATTTTATTTTTTTAAATATATTTTATTGACTTTTTACAGATAGGAAGGGAGAAGGATAGAGAGTCAGAAACATTGATCAGCTGCCTCCTACACACCTCCCACTGGAGATGTGCCTGCAACCAAGGTACATGCCCTTGACTGGAATCGAACTCGGGACCCTTCAGTCCACAGACCGATGCTCTATCCACTGAACCAAACCAGTCAGGGCTCCTTCTCACTTTTTATTGGACTCATCAAAGCCCTGTGCCCAGCACGAGTTAGTGGCTGAGCAATGTGTGGTGCCTTAGCAGGTTGGTTTTTATCCCCCTCCCGGCCGCCCTGCTGTCCTTTATTCTAGGGGTCCCTGGGGGCTGAGGCTCTGGGAGAGCCCACTCTGCATGCCAGAATCAATGTATCTGTCAGCATGTGCTCAGAGCACTTCACAGAGATTCGTTTTGTCCTTGTCATTGGTGGGGTGCCCGGTCCCGCCACACGTGGCTTGTCAGGGGGGCTTTGTTGTTGCTTCCCTGGGGGGCTGACTCAGACCCAGACACTAAGCGGGGCCGGGCGGCAGGCACTTTGGGGAGGTTCTTGCTATGAAATAGTGCTGCTAGGATGCTGCAAAATACAGAAAAACTCAAGAAGAATGGCCCATCATTCTAATACCAGAGCCGGCTCCCCCCAACGTACTCGGCGAGCTTTCTTCTCACGATACGATGCTTCCTGGACCGTGCACTGGGCTGGAAGCATCACAGGAGGTTTCCTCCTCTTTGACCAAGTGGAACGCACGTGCACATTCCCACCAGTCAACGCATGTGTCTAGTAACCGCTGAGCCACGTTTTCTTCCTGGGCACCGAGTGCTGAAGAGATGCTCAGCCGACCCCTCAGGAAGCTCCTGTTTCAGAAGGAGTACTGTCAGCAATAAACCTGGGAGTCTTCTGCCGCCACCTGACTCCTCACCCCGGCACCGATTCCTTGGAGGACAGCACTCCTGGTTTCGCCCCTGACCCTGTGGGAAGCCGGAAGTGCTGTCCACCCAGAGCCCGCTGTGCTCCATCACCGGGTGTCCAGGATTTCTCTCAGCAGCAGGTGCACTTTTTGCGCCATCGCAGAGGATGGGGACGGGGGCAGCGTGGGTCCACAGTCCCCGAGGCCCCTGAGAACATCCAGTCCAGTGGTGGAGGGCATTTGACTTCTTACTGTTGGGAACTTATAGGATCTTGAGCTCAGCAGGGCCACCAGGACCCCCCACAATGGCAGTCGCCCATCTTCCTCTGGTGTTGAGAAGACAGATGGAAGGGGATGTTCAGCGAGTGGCAGAGTTGTGATCAAGCTTGCACAGACTGCCCCGGACTGTGTGTTGTGCGCCAGTGGATCCCGGCTTCTGTTCTCTCATGGAGCCCCGGCCGTTTCCTTCCTCAGTGAGGCAGACAGAGCTGAGCCACTCCTCAGGGACCCAGGGGGATCTTACACGTGGCTGGGCATCTCGGGGTCTTGCCCCAGCCACAGCCTGCTGCAGGGGGAGGCTGCATGGCTGCATCGCGTTCTGTGCTCCTGAAACCCGCTGGAGGCAGCACGGGCTCCTATCTTCTGAGCCCGGCTGTGGGGATCTGGCACCTCACAGAGGCAGAGCCTCACGGGCAGGTCAGGGCGGGCTCCCCATCTCCCCACACGGGGCCCTCAGTGGTGGCCTTCCCCCAGTGCATGCAACTCCCCTCCTCCTCCCCTCCGCCCCCTGCCCAGCTGACACCCTGAGGTCTCCCTCTCCCACTCGCAGGAGGGCAGCAGGCTCAGCCCTAAGGTGAGGGGAGCAGCTGATTCTGGATACCCTCTCCCCAAGGATGGCGTCACTCCATGGCCCCCGGGAAGGATGTCTTTCTGGGGAGTCACCCAGCAGGTGTGGCCCAGGGAAGAGACCCTGATGGGGGAGTGACAAGGAAGGGGCCCTGAGCCCCAGGTGTCTGAGCTGGGTGCACTGCCCATGGCCCTGCCAATTGCTGCTGGCTTTGACTAGTTGGGGCGGGTTCTTACCCCGGCAATGGCCGGCAGGGTGCTGGTGCCTGAGGGGCAGTGTCGTGTCCAGCAGTAGGACACGTGCTCACCATCCTGCTGTGGCCCCTGGGCAGGGGTTCTGCCCCCTCATGCCCAGGACTCGGCTCCAAGGGGCCCCAGGGGCCCTGCTACATCCCGAGGCCTGCCAGTCCCCGTCCTGTGAGGGAGCTGGAGGAGCCTTGGGCGGCCCCGAAGAAACAGAATAACCCCTTCCCTCTCTCCTTTTTCCACCAGAAACATGGCCGACAGCAAGGCAAAAGCCTCTAAGGCTGCCAACAAGACACCCCCCAAATCCCCAGGGGACCCTGCAAAGGACAAAGCAGCCAAGCAGCTGTCACTGGAGTCAGAAGGTGCCAACGAGGGGGCGGCCGCCTCGGCCCAGGAGCTCAGCGCCCTGGAGGAGGCCTTCCGGCGGTTCGCGGTGCATGGGGACACCAGAGCCACCGGGAAGGAGATGCATGGCAAGAACTGGTCGAAACTGTGCAAGGACTGCCAGGTGATCGACGGGAAGAACGTGACTGTCACCGACGTGGACATTGTCTTCAGCAAAATCAAGTAAGTGAGCTGGGCTCTCTCACCGCAGAGCCAGCTTCCCGGAGGCCTGTGGTCAGCCAGGCCGCAATCCGGGGTCCGCTGGTGGATTTTGTATCTTACCGGGCTGTGAGGAAGTGTGATGCCTCGAGATCCTTCCCTTCCCAGAATCAGATGCCCAGGGATTGGAACCAGAGCAGGCTGCCTTGGGGTTAGCTGGGACCCGGGGAGGAGGCACTGCCCTGCACTCCAGAGCTTGGAGGGATCTCAGGGGTAGCTCCTGGCCCACTGTGGGCTGAGCTTGAGAGGTGCTGTTCTGAAGCCTGTCCCCCAGATCTGACCTGCATCTCGCTAGGCCCTGCCCGCGGCCCCCTGGGGAATGTTACAGAAGGGCTGGAGGCAGGTGAGATAAGTGCTGTGTCCAGGGACAGACAGGTCACCCACCAAGGAGTGCCACAGGTTCCACACCTTTGGCACTGGCCCAGACATGCAAAGTGTTGGGGCAGGTGGGGACAATTCTTTCCTCGTTCTTAATTCCTTCTGCAGTAAGTTGCCTTTAAGCTATTGTAGGTATGTACACACATGTGCACACAGGAGCTCACACATGCATACACAGACCTGCCTGTGCACATGAGCTCATAGGCACACACACACACACACACGTACAATCTTGAAGGGAGGGTGGTGGCAAGTGTGGTGGTGGCTCAATCAGAAGACAGCTGCCCTGGACAAGCCCAGAAACCCAGTGTGCAGGAGGCATGTGCACTCCATTACCCAAATGGGGGGCAATGGCCTCAAGAAGTGAGTGGGCACCATCTGCTCGCCATGCCTATCCTGGGAGGCAGGGTATCAGCTGCTTAGACTCAGGGCTGAGGGTGAACCTCAGCTCCTGGGCATGGTGGGCTCCCCATTGCAGAGCCCAGGACTGTTTGTGGTCTCCCCCTGGTGTCTCTGCCTCAGGCCACTTTGGGGGACATGGAATGGGAGAACGGGTAACTGTGGCCCAGCCCAGTGAGGGATTATAGTCACCACACAGTGAAGTCCAGTTTGTGGTGGCTACAGGGGCCACCTACAAGGGAACAGGGAATTCCCTGCTTGGGTGGCTTGCTGGGTACCACAGGTTACAGTGGGAGGGACAGCCAGGGTGCACAGTGCCTTGGGTAAGGTCACAGGATCCTGCAGGACAGGCTGAGACCTCAAAGTTGCTGACTTGGTAGAGAAGAGCAGCTCTGTTTGGGGGCGGTTGCCAGGGCTCTGGGCGGTGACGCCAGCCAGGGTATCTGCAGCCTTTGTTTAGGTCCTGTCGCCATGGCAGTGCCTGTTTGTTTTGATGTTACTATGTGTTAAATTTTAAACAAATTTCTTGCAGCTCTATACCAGGTCTAGATGGAAGACTATTGTTACCTAGACAAAGACTCTGACATCCTCCACGCCCCAAAGGACAGATGATGGTCAGTCTGAAAGATTAATTATGCACAAGCATATGCACAAGCAGGAGGGTCACCCTGACAGTCTCATTTGGGGGGGCATGGACGGCACCATCCCCTTCCATCCTGTCTGCATGTGTGGGGTCAGGCATGCGGTTCCCTCCCTGCAAGTGGAGAGGACAGACCAAGGGGGCAGAGGAGGGCGGTGTCTCTGCTGCAGCCTCTCCTGACCCATGCACACGCTTGGGTGGTGGGTGCTGTGTGTACAGAGGAAACAACCTGTTTCTCATGACACTGGTGCAGGGACACAGCTCAACCCGTGTCTGGCATCTGGGTCTCAGGTTGGAAGGAAGCAGGTGGGCGGGGCTCCCGGTCACTGAAGACTTGGAAAGCTGCTCCATTCTTGCCACACATGCTACAGTCAAAGCCAGGACACACGGAAATTGTCTGAAACAGGGGCTCCTGGGCCATGGGTGTGCACCCCAGAGGCTCAGCATAGAAGCATAGGCCTGGGGCCTAGAGGCCATCCAGTGGTGTCCAGAGCCTGGAGCAGGCTGCGCCCATTGAAGGAGCCCCAACAAAGCTTGAGTGTGAGGTGGGGTGGGATGGGGTGTCACGGAGAGCTGATATGGCCATGCTCTGGCCACAGTGGCATCCTGGCTGCTCTCTGGACAGGTCACCAGGTCCCAGCTGCTGCTGGTCAGGGGAGCCTGGGAGAACCAGCGCTTTCTCCGGCACTCCCATCCCTCCGCCCCCAGTGGCTCAGTAGCCTGGACGCTGGCCCTCAGAGAGGGGCCTGGGAGAGTGCAGTTCGCTCTGATACTTGAAGGTGCTGGCAAGGAGGGCATAGGGGTCACGGTGGGTGTTCCATCCTGGGTACATCCTGGATGTTGGCCCTGGAGACACACAGTTCTGGTCTGTCCTGGAAGGAATGGACTGGCCCAAGTGTCCCTGGGTGGCCTTCAGGAGCAGCCCGCCCAGGCCCTCCCTGCTTGCCCTGAGTTGGGCCGGGAGGCCCAGGGGACACAGGGGCCTTGCGTCTGGCTTTCCAGCAGAACAACAGCCTCTGAGCAGGGCGGAGGGGGTGGAGGGCTGTGGGGACACCGCCATGTGCACTTGGGAACAGGCTCGCTCTATGTGGACTGCAGCGTGATGTGATCCTGTCCCCGGGGAAGCGCCTGGCATTGTCACGGAAGCGCTCCCTGGGGACTCTCTCAGCAGTAGGGCAGCAGCTCCCCTGGGGAGAGCTCTGAGACCCACCCATCAGCCACAGTGGGATCCTGGGGGACACCTGGCCCGGCCAGGTGGAGCGGGCAAGTCAGGGCCCTGGACCTGTGTGTCCAGCCCAATCTGAATGCACCCTTTGACAGGAGTCCCTGTGGGCCACCCCCCCACCGGGGCCGGAGTGACTCACCCTGGTGGCGCCTGGTGCCGCAATACCCAGAGAGGGCTGTGCGCTCTAGCGGCTGGTCACCGGGCCAGCCGTCGGGCTTGGTGTCCACTTGCCAGCCTGGGCAGGCAGTGAATAGGAGACAGGAGCGCCTGTGACAGCCCAGGACAAACAGGCCTTCTCGGGCCCCAGAGGTTACCCTTCAGCAGGGTCAGGAGGAAGACAAGAGGCTGTGTTTGCACCATTCCAGGCACTCAAGGCTGAGGGCGGCTTCCCTAGAATGACCCTCCAGGCCCACAGACTTCATGCATTTGTGGATGTTGTCTGAAGGGCAGAACCCACCACCAAACACTGTTGGTCTAAGTCCCTGCCCTGTAGTCCTGTCCTTGCCAATGACCTCGGGACAGATGGCTCTGAATGTGCCAGAGGGTCCATCCCTCCTGCCGAATGGCCTCCCTGAGGGGTGAGGTTGGGCTGCAACCTCCAATCAGCAGTCTCCTGCTCACGGGCCTGTCGGTCAGCATGGCCCTCTTCAGACACACGTGTAACATGGGAGGGAACCTCTGTGCTTGCTGGGGGCATGCTTGTCCGTCCACTGCTGAAGGACAGGGGCTGTTTCTGGGTCTTGGTGACCATGAGCAGAACTGTGAGCAATAATGCGTGAGCTTATCTTCATTGCTTTTGAGTGAGACTCAGGAGTGGGTCTTGGGGTCATGCCACAGGTGCGACCTTTAAGAAACTGCCAGACAGCTTTCCACAGTGGCTGCCACACTGTGCGCCCACCGGCTGGGTCGGAGCCCGAGCCCGCATCTCCCCAGCAATGGGGCTGTCTTCCCAGTCCTCTAGTCACTGGGGCCACCTGTGGTGTGCGGTGTCTCTGCGGGAACTGACGACGTGCAGTCTCTCGCACCCACAGATCTTGGTGAAGTGTCTTGATTCGAATATTTTGTCCAATTGCTTACACTGGATTTCTTCTTCTTGAGTTTTCAGAGTTCTTCATGTATTTCCAATACAGTCCTTTATCAGACATGCTTTGCGAGTCTTTTCTCCCAGTCTGTGGCTTGTCTTTGCATTGCAGTGTCTTTTGAAGAAAATAGTTATAAGCCATCCTTCTTTGGGATGGACTGTTTTCTGGAGTCATTTCTAAGACATCTCTAACCAAGGTCGTAAGAATTTTCTTATATGTTGTTTCAGAAGTGCTATAGTTTTAGGTTTTATAATAAAGTTAGACTGACCACTTTGAGTTAGCCTTGGTGTATGGTGAGAGGCACAGGTCGAAGCTCATTACTTTATGTGGTTGTGCCGTTGGTGAAAGATGATCCTGGCTCCATTGAGTAGCCTTTGCTCTTTTGTGGAAAACATTTTGAACTGGGGAAGAGCCAAACTGGCAAAAACGCTTTTTTAAGTTAAAATTATAAAAGGTAAAAAGCCAGCTTAGAGCGTTTCAAAATTGCAGGACTGACCTCCTGTGGGAACCTCTGTGCTGCCATCGGTACGTCTGGATGAAGTGTTGCATGCGGCCTCTGCCCAGTCCCATGGCTCCCCCTGTGCTGTGCATCTGGACTGGCACTTGTCAGGCTGTGCGGCCTCTGGGCTGGTGGGCCTCACGTGCGGGCCCTGGGCACACCTTGCTGGGTATCCTGGGAGTCCCCCACTCTTGTCCCTGGGTGGTAACCATGACCCACAGACTGCCTGCCAGCCGGGACCAAGGCCTCTTCCCTGTGGTTCGGATCTGACTTTTCTTTGAAAGTCCTGTGGTTCGGATCTGACTTTTCTTTGAAAGTCCTCCCGAGTGGAGGCCACACACATGCCCCATTTAGAAGCAGACAACAGCTCTGTTTTAATGTCCAGTTGTTCATAAAGGATGTGCTTCCTTTAAGCTTTTTTCCAAGACAATTTATATTTGCTGCAGTTGCCAATGGCGACTGACTGTTGGGTGAAAACACTGCAGGGGGAGGGGCATGCTCTGTGTTTTAATGTTAGGCTCGCTTCTGGTGTGGGCAAGAGGCAGGGCTGGGGTCCCCCGATGTCAGTGGGTGCCCAGGCAGGGTTAGGGTTCCCCAATGTCACTGGGTCCTGGGTCCGGTGCACACGTCCCTTCTCCTGCAGGGGCAAGTCCTGTCGGACCATCACGTTCGAGCAGTTCAAGGAGGCGCTGGAGGAGCTCTCCAAGAAGAGGTTCAAGGACAAGAGCAGCGAGGAGGCCGTGCGGGAGGTGCACAGGCTCATTGAGGGCAAGGCCCCCATCATCTCCGGAGTGACGGTGAGCGGGGCTGCTGGGCGGGTCCCTTGGGAAATGGGGTCCATGAAGTGGACGGGACAGGTGGCCGTGGCCTAAAGACAGGGTGAGAGCCTTAATCCCCAGGTGTGGGCAGGCCCAGGCCTCCTCCCTGGGTTAAGTGGAGAGTGGATTCCAGGAGCGCCAGCACCCCTCCTGCTTGGGCCTAGCCCCTTTGGTTCCCTCTCCGGCTCCCCGGGGCAAGCCCCTTCTTTCTCCTGTGGTTCGATGACTGTTAGTCTCCCTCCCTGCTCTCCTGCAGAAAGCCATCTCCTCGCCCACCGTGTCGCGGCTCACGGACACCACCAAGTTCACCGGCTCCCACAAGGAGCGCTTCGACCCATCAGGCAGGGGCAAGGGCAAGGCCGGCCGCGTGGACCTGGTGGACGAGTCGGGCTATGTGCCAGGCTACAAGCACGCAGGCACCTACGACCAGAAGGTGCAGGGGGGCAAGTAGCCAGTCCCCCGGGGATAGGGCCTTCCTCCTTGGCTGGCCCCACATCACCTCACACTTCTTTACATTCCTGGGCTCCCTGGGGCAGAACTCAGACGCTGGGGTGGAGGGGCCGGGGGTGACCCCAGACCTCCTCCTGCCTGGAGCCCCGGCATGCTCCTCTCCTACCCCAGGTGCGGCCCCTGAACTCTCTGACCTTCCTCTAATGCACCTGCCTCATCCCATGTTGGGAAGTCAACAGATGGTCATTTCCAACGTGTTTCCTGGATCCAGACCACACAGGCCACGGGTTTGCAGGTGAAAGGGGGGTTTTAAAGGAGCAGGTGATGCTGACCTCCTGACCAGCAGACCAGCCTAGGAACCACGAGGGCAACAGGCACTAATGCACTAACCAGCAGCACCGGGGAGATGAAGTGAACCTCGGACAGGACACAGGGACGTCTGCGAAGGCTCCATTCAGATGTGCGACACACAGGTACATGCTTACACACGCACACACAGGCTCATGCACTCATGGACACACGCTTACACATGCCCATGCACCCACACATCCACTCACACACACATGCTTACACACACGCCCACGGACCAGGTCTGTGCCGAGGACGGTCATGTGAGCGAAGGCTGGTGTGCAAAGGAAGGTGAGCTGGTGAAAGAATGCTCCTCAGAAGACCAAAGGAACGTGATCTGAAGTGTGAAGTTAGAAGTTTTTAAAATGGAAACGAAGGACAGGTCATTTCATTCTGCTTTTTGAAGAAAAGGAGAAATCGGAAGAAATAGTGGCTGTGTGTATATTCCCAGAGTGGATCAGGGAAGATCCAGAATAACTCTCTCCCTATTGTCCCTGTGTCTCCAGGTCACGGGACCCTGTTGGGCCTGAGGCTCCCTCACAGACAGGTGTGTGATGGGCATCTTTTGCCCGTCCCTGTTCTGAAATCAGCGTGGCTACCCCCTTTGCTCACAGTGCAGCACAAACCTCTGCGGCTCCAGCCTCTGCAGTTAATTCTGAACTCTCCCGGCCTGGGAGTGCAGGAAACTGCACAAGAGCAGGCCAGAGAGGGCCTCCAACAGAGGCCCACACATATGCTGGGGTTGGTGGGCGCTTGCTTTCACAGTGGCCACAAGGCAACACTCATTTGCAGAAGTGCAGCCACAGCCTGGTGTGTCACCTGGTCCTGGAGCCAGTCCTGGGAAAAGCCACGGCAGTTTCAGAAAATGCTTCCTGGAGCCCGGCTGCCATAGCCGGTGTCTGCTCTGCACCCCTTCCTGGTGGCACGGCCTGGCCTAGCACGGGCGGCTGAAGCTGGGACCAGCACTGCCACGGCACACGGGCTGGTCACCCCTGGGGCTGTGTCTCCACCAGGCCCCTCGCACACTGGCCTCCCTTCACCATCCCCCTGTCCGCCTCTGTGCACAGCTTCGTCTGGAGGTCCTGGGAGCTCGCGGCGTGTGGCATTGGAGCGCAGGCTCCGAGGGCCACTTCTAGGGCTAATCTCACCATTCTCTCGAAAGTTCCTAACTTGGGGATCCTCAGCTGCCCGGCGAGGCTACTCCCAGTGAGGAAGCTGAGGACCAGGGGATGGGCAAAGGCAAGCGGGATGCCAGTCCCCACCCGGTGCCTCGCCTCTCCCCTCCCCGAGGCTGGACCTTTAGGGGAAACCCAAAGGCAAGAGTAACCTGTCGAAAATGTGTCTGAAGACAACCGAACGTGCAGTGTTTCTTGACAATAAGCTGATCACAAACCACGGTCCTCGTGTTCCAGTGCTGGCATGTTTTCCTCTGTGGCCACATTTCTCCCCATGCCTGGCGGCACTGCCACGGGGGAATGCCGTGGTCTCCTGCCCCCGAGCAGCCCCGTTCCTCTCGTCACAGACACTGGAATCGGCAGGATCTCGGCCACTACAGCACGCTCGCTGGCGAAGGCTCCCCACACCACAGCCCACAGAGACAGATGTCACCTGGGCCTGCCCTGGATGCAGGCCCTTCTCAGCCCTTCCTTGCCTGCTGGACCCTGGAGAGAGGTGCCTGGAACCAGGTCTCTTGTCCCAGAGCATTGCCTTCAGGCAAGAACAGCCTCCACATGAAGGTTCCAGCCCCCATGTAGGGCCAGCCTGCCGGAGCACCCTGGGAAATGGGGTCTAAGCAAAGAAACAACGTGTGTGTCCTCCGACCCCGCGGCAGCCCGTGCTTTCTCCCATGGTGCCGCCTCAGAACTGGACCCCCATGGCCCTACCAGGCAACCCTGGCCGCGGAGCACCCACCTCAACCTTCAGGCTGGTGGAGGTGAGCTACTTGATAGGAAACCCTTGGCGCACATCTGAGGAAAATGTCAGAAGGCTCTGCTGACCCAGATGGCAGCAGCTTTTTTTGGTTTTCTGAATGAAATCAAGTGCACACAGCTGCTCCCTGTCGGTGGCCTCCCTGTCCCCGCCCACCCAAACGCAGGGGAGAGCCCCACACCCTGGGCCCGACTCCCCACATGCCCGGGCCGGGAGTCTGTCCACAGCTCCACGGTCCCGCCGGCCACACAGGCACTGCCGTCACCCCGTGTCCCCTGCCCGTCCCCAGCCAACTCATGGTTCTCCAGTCAAAGTAGAGCTTTGGAAATCCACCCTCCCCTCTCTGTCAGAGGAGGAGGAGGAAGAAGGGCTAGGTCATGCGGACTCAGTATTCACCGTTCTGCCCCTTTAATCGCCTGGTGAATGCATCATTGCATCTGGGTGTAGCCTCTCAACTCTTACTTCACTGCACAAAACTGACACACGTGCATGCCCCTCCACCGGGATCTGAATATTGTGACTACGTAGGCAGTGTGTGTCTGTGCTGCATGTTTTTATGCAATGCCAGTCAGCTTCTAACCATAGTCACATAGAAATTAAACGTCTATCTGTGAACAGAAGGAACTGCACAGCAGGCACCCCCGGAGACAGGCCGTGTCCGAGGGAGGACACCCGGGATACGGGATGCATTCCAAGGGAGGACTCTCGGGATGCATTTGGGGAGGAGGGAGGGGTCAGTGTGACGGTGTCCGAACATCAGCAGAGAACAGTAGGAGTGTATCTGAGAACACCGATTATACCAGAATATTTATTTATTTCTATTTAACACAACTGGGCAGTAGTCAGGAATAGAGTTAGCTTTACCAAAACTGAAGTTCAAATTACATAATTTTAAAATATTATAGTAAGATATATATTTATACTGGAGTATTTTTACACCTTTAATATTCTCTGGCTTGAGTTTTGAGACAGATGAAAATTATAGCGGATGCCGATCCTTCGGGGAAAGGCCCGCGGAGGCCTTCCACTGGCGCGGCTCGCTGCCTGTCTGTGCTCCTCGCCGCTGTGTCCCAGTGGCTGAGAGCTCCGGGCAGGCCAGTGGCCGTCTGACCGTCTGAGTGGACGGAGACTATGGCAGCAGGCAGAGGCTCACCGACACCCTGGGCCAGTACAATCGCCTATTTCTGTGAATAGTTTTAATGGCACAGGCCACGCCCGTGTGCTTCTATACGTCTGTGGCTGCTTTTGCAGCGACATTGGCATTTGCAGGGGTTGATAGAGATGCCATGACCCATGAAACCTAAACTATTCACCATCTGGCCCTTGCCAGGTGAGCCCTTGAGGACCCGCTTGTGCTCATTCCCTCCTGGGTATTTACACACAAGCTGGCTGCCCCGTCCTGCAGCACACACCCTATGGGGGCGCTCGGTTGTCACCTGTTCGATACCGTACAGGTTGACAATTTAGCTGAACTGTGAAGTTATCACCCTGAGTAGTTTCCTTCCACTGATTCACCGCTGAACGCTTAATGAAACCTGGTGGTTCCGGGGCCTGCCTGCGTCTGTGGGCACGTGGAGGGCATGGCCAGTGTGGTGACGTGCCAGGCAGTGGTCGCTGTGCTTGGAGATGCTTTAGTTAACCCTCTCTCTTCCTTTAGACTTTTGAAAAACCAAACCAAGCCAAACAAAGGAAACTTGCACAACTTAAAATAAACTTGAAAGTGATCATATACTAGTTTGTACTAAGATTTTCAGGAAAGGGAAATACAATTTATATGTACATGCAATATATTTTTACACCATCTTATTGTTAGGGAGTACTGAGTGTATCACTGTATCAGAGTGATGGGTACAGTAACGTCAATGTCATGGGTGTTCTGACTCAGACAGTCTAAATGGCATTCAGCAGCAACATCCCTGGGGCTGGAAGGGCCCCGCTCCCCCCCACTCAGAGTGCGAGGCTCAGAGCCGCTATGGGGGTGCTGTCAAGGCCTGGTCTGCAAACCTTTAGTGAAACAGCTAATGTCTGTCCGCACAACGCTCCTCATGTGTTCGCTGTTGTTAACATTGTTGTCAAAAGTGATAAATAAAGTGTTAAATGGTGGATCTCTTATCCTCAAAGTGTATGGTCTGGACAGGCAATAACATGGGCGCCAACATCTAACATGGGACAGGCCTTGGGAGGGGTTCCTGGGTGGGGGTGCAGAGCCAGGACTTCCAGGGCAGAGAGCCTCCTGTCTCTCACCCAAGAGAGAGTCTTTCACTCCTCACTTAGGCGACCACTGACCCAACCCCGTGCTATGTCAGAGGCCTGGTTGAGATCTACTGCAGCCCTGGAGGAGTGGGGGAGTGGGGGAGATGGGTGTGTGTGTGTCTAGATCCAGGGGTACAGGACACAAACTACATTACAAGCAACTCTGCATCCCCAACAGAAAGGCCATCATCAAATAACTGCCAATCTGAAATCCCAGCCCAGAGAATAGTTTTCAAGAAATAAAGATAAAATAAAAGCATTATTAGATTATAACAGGGAACTTCCTCCAGTAGACATGTATAGAAACTACAAAGGCAGAAGGAAAGTGATTGCAGGTGTAATGTCTGAGATGTGAGGAAGGAAAGTGAAATAAAGAATAAATAGTAAATAACTACAAATACATAGTGACTAATTATATAAATATCCTCTGTGGGATTAACAATATTTCATTAAAATGACTAAAGAGTATCGCATGTGAGCCAGAAGCGATCCTTGGGGGGCGGGGGCCCATGATCATGGCTGCTGTATGATAGCAAATGCGCATGAAAGAGCTGATTAAATAAATATGAACATGTAAAAATACAACTGAAACATGCATGGCTTCCAAACTAGTAGAGGTGAAATGCTAAATGATAAAAATCTAAAAACAGCAACAGTGGCAAGGGAAAAACTGACAGAAGGCACTGAATAGCACAAAATGATTTTAGTTTAAATAACAGATTTAAACTAAAATATATCAATTCCATTAGAGGATAAAGCAATAGAATCACAGAACAGGAAAATGGATAGAATAATGCTTTTAAGCCAAGTGTATCATTTATTTCAGCATGGCTAAAAAGGAAAGGGAAGAGCAGAAAATGAAAATGAAATGAAGCAGAAACCGGTTTGGCTTAATGGATAGAGCGTCGGCTTGGGAACTGAAAGGT